TTAATTTTTTAATTACAAAAATAGAATTCTTAAAAAATAAGACCGCATTATGGTAGAATTGACCCAGGAACAATTTTCAATTAATGGGCAGCTATGATTTCATTAGTAAAATTATGAATAATTCCAGCCTAATTTTTTGATCGTCACTCTTAGCCAATCAAAATCGAGAATCTTGCCAGTCCAATTTTGTTGCGGTAGCTATAGTAGTGATTTGAACCGAGAAAAATTTTCTTAATCGGTTAACCGAACCGAATTATTTCACTCAACCGATTACCAACCGGTTAAGATTAATAACTATACTATCTCGGAGCTTTACTCTAGCAATTCATTTTTCGAAGTTAGCTTTTGCTTATAATCAAATACGCGAATAACTTAGTCTTCAAATATAAAATTAAATTATATATGTAAAGTTAATAAGACTATTCTTATGAAATTTCTCTTTTATCAAGTTGTTACAATATTGGTAATTCACAATTATTTTAGAATCAAAATTCATATTTTTATAAAGCCATTTTATCTGTTTGATCAAATTGAAAAAGTATATTTATTAAAAAATTAATAAACATAATCAGCTAATGACAATTTTCTAAAGATTTCAAAAGAAATTTGAGACAAACTTAAATAAATAAATAAAAAAAGATAAAATTGATTTTAAGATTTATTCTCCAACAAATGTACAAATGAATAAAAAATATATAGCTTAAATAAGAAGAAAAAACTATCACTATAATATAATGGAATTATATATCAGATATTGTAGAAATTTTGATAACTATGAAAAAAATTATTAGAGTTGCACCTTCGTAAATGCAAGCTACATAAACACATATTTTAACTAATTTAATTTAAATCAAAATTTGAAAAATTGCTCTCAATCTCTACTATACTCATGATTTACTAATATATTCAGAAAATTTTTTTGTATCATATAACTTGCTACTATACATTTCTTGTGAATGTATTTGCTTAGTTGGTTCTGGTTTAATCTTATTAGCTTCCAAAATTTGGTTCTTTATTTCATTATCATCTTCCTGATCTATTTCATCTAACCAACGAGTGATTATTTCAATAATTTCAGTTGCAGTAGGTCGTTTATTAAAATCTTTATCCATACATTCCAAAGCTAATTCAATATAACAAACTGGTCCTAAACATTTAGGTCTTAATCCACCGGTTATTTTTAATGCAAGATAATCGTCGAACGGAATTCCATCAAATGCTCTTTGCCCAGTTGAAATCTCTGTTGCGATAACTCCAAGACCGTAAATATCAGATGCCTGAGTATACGGTTGACCCACCAAAACTTCTGGTGCTATATACGGCAGAATTCCACAAATTTTCCCTTCCGCCACTTTTTTAGAAAGCCCAAGATCAGTGACATATGCGTTATTCGAACTAGTTAGCAAAATATTTCCGCTGTGCAAATCTCTGTGAACGAGTCCCTGAGAATGAATCGACGCGAGATCCAAAGCTATACCGTATAAAATATTCAATTTATCTTTCCATTCCGATTTAGATATTTGTACAAGATTTTGTCGTAACGAGCCTTTAGGTGCAACCTGCAAAACAATAACATAATCACCATAATTATTTCTTGATACTCCAATGCATTCCAAGAACGAAGGATTCTCGTATCCAATTTCACAGTAATTCTTTAATTCCTGAATAAATTCTTGCTCATTTTGATTTGAATCATGAATCACTTTAAGTGCAACGTCTTTCCATCTATTATTAATTTTGTCGTACCAATTTGCCCAATATACAGTTGCGAACCCTCCTTTTCCCATTTCGTTTTTAATTGTGAACTCATTATAATCAATCCAAGATAATTTAAATCTCTCATCGTCTAATATTCTCTTAAGTTCAGGATTGATATGATCTGGTGATTTATTAGTTTTCAAAAGACTTTTATATTTTTTGATCCAATAATTTGCCTTCTGAATATCTCTCTTTGTACCGGTACCGTTACGATAACATTGAGCAATATTCCTCATTGCTGATTTATGGCCCATATTAGCAGATTTTTCATAGTATTTAAATGCTTTTTTATAATCTTGATAAACCCCTTCCCCATATTTATAACGATAACCAAGATTATTTATTGCACTGCCATTACCTAAATCAGCTGATCTCTTACAATATTCAAATGATTTCTGGTAATTTATTTCTACTCCAATTCCACGACTATAGCAAAGACTAACTTTACGCATTGCATCCGAATCTCCTAACTCAGCAGTTCTCATATAATATTCAAAAGATTTCTTTTCGTCTTTCTTAACACCAATACCAAATTCATAATTATAACCAAGATCATAAAGTTGTTTAGAGTCCATTTTTTTTTAAAGAGGAAAGAAAATCATGCAGCATATAAGATACAAACTTTAATTTGCCCGGAGCGTAACAGAGGACATTTAATGATTAATTAAGGTTATACAAAAATTTCATCAATATAGTTACGTTTTTGATTATCTCATTAATTATTTCCACAGTTTTATCAAAAACGTAATTTTGAAAAATTTCTCGCCTGTCCGCATGCATATTTGTATTTTTAGTGTAACAAAATAAACCAAAATTATATTGATATAAATTCATTATAGCTATAATTTCTTAACGCCAGCCTAGCTCCGATGCATTTGAACGGAGTTTTAGATACTTGCCGAATTTTATTGATAAAGAAGTAGGGGATGTCATAAAATATTACAACCAAATTAATTAAATGTAATGTATAGTAATTGCAAAGATAGTACTTCGTAAATAACACCAATATACTACAATTTTATTCACAGAAAGTTACTAAAAGTCTTATATATCGATTTTAATGCTTTAAACTTTATTAAAAAATACGTCCAGTGTTAGGTACATATGGCCAAAAAAATTTTATCATGTCAAATAAGGACTTTTTCTAACCATAATATTCATCCTTATAAACTTCTTTGATAATGAACCGGCTGAAGTAAGGAATATCTAAAGAATGAAATATTGGTTAAAATTTTTTGCTCTATAAATTTCATGCATAGGTGATTCAGAAGTTTGATTCCTTACCGGCTAAAATATTACGACATGACAAAACAACTACATAAATTAATACCAATTTATAAATGAATAAAAGTCATAATTGAGAGGAAGTCGTACATATATTGAAAGATATTCCCATTTTAATTCTCTTACACCTCCATCATAATGCATGCATATCCAATTGAGATATTTTAATTTTACACATTCTTTATTTAAATTAAAGTAGGTAAGTTTGCGTGTAAATTATATCTGAATTTAATGGCATTAGCATGTGGCATTAAATATTTGTAATATGTATTGGGATAAAATATATTTAGATAAACAGCTAATTCTCCAAATCTAAATATGTACTGTGCATAATACTGTAATGTCATAACAATAACATCAAAATTTGTTAGATGAAAAAAAGACAGTGGAGATAAAGACTTCGTATTCATTATGTTATCAACACTACCTAGAAAAAATAACAGGGTAAAATTAATATATTGTAAAAGTAGGCATAAAAATTATTCTATGTTTATATAATATATATGAGCTGAAAAAGATTAACCAAAAAGTGAAAACTTATATCCTTTTTTTATTTAAGGTTTCAAAAAATAAACAATAGCATTTTTAAATTAATATAATTTTCAAAATAATAGCATTTGATTATGTAGGATCAAATAAAAAATAAATATCCAATTTAAATATCTCAATTATTAAAATAATTACTATGTTTAATCTACTAATTAAACACGAGTGAAAAAAAATTAGTTATGCTTATTTTAAAAATTGTTATTGTATAAATCATCTAGTCGCGCCACTTAATGAATTGAATTTCAGATTTATGATGAGAACACAATCAATCAATCAGCACCTTTCCAATTATTTGCCTTTGAAAATTCCTTATGGTTTTTTTTAAAAATCATATCTCCTCGAAAAATATGTAAGTTATAAAAAAAAAACCGTCATTACGCTAGAACTACAAAGCTACGCCTGTATTTTTGCGTATTTTCAAATATTTGTTGAGGAATTACAATTTTGGTGTCTTCAGATGATTACAGGGGTTTGTAGTTTAATCTAACCAATATGAGTATAACAATTTTCATTTTTATACTATCCGATTGTTATCATTTTTAGTTATTAAATTTATTGTTTTGTATTTGTAACAAACTTGAAGTTTCATACCTTATTCATACTCTATTAAAAATTATTATTTGTAGCAAATTTTAAACGCTTAAATACCTCCTGATCGTCCAATTTTCTAACAACGAAACTTTAACTTGAAACATTTTTTTAAAACTGATAGCTTTTAATAATATTCAAAGGGTTTATATAAATTGTTTTAACATTAATGACAAACTGGCATCTCTACTTTTATATGTATCTAAAATAAACATTGATCTTAACAAATTATCTTAACAATTCTTCAGATACATATTTATGTAAATCGTATAATTAATATATCCTTCAGCTTTGTAATTATTTTAATTTATTAATTTAAAAAAATAATTATTAAATTTTAAAAACAAGAATATGATTAAATACTAAACTATAAAAAATAATAAAAATAGCCGATGGCATTTTCAAGCAACCCTCAATGTACTCGACTAAGAATCTGATTCTTTATTCAAATCATGAAAAGATGTGCTTGAGAATGCCTTAAATAATTGCGATAGAAAAAAAAACCCCCAATACCGTAAAGTAGTAGTCTTTTTTAATTTCGGAAAATTGCTTTAATTAGTGAGAAATTATTTAATCGAACGATTGAGATTTAAATATTAGTCGTACGACAATATAAGCACAATAAATTTAATAATATAAATTTGATCAAAAACAAACACTGCATTTTTGCCTATGTACTACTTACAAGAACAAATTATTGTTTCCGAATTAAAAAATCATATTTATTTCTAAACTTAGTTAAACATTACACTTTTTATTATACAGTACATAATCCCATAAAACTTTAAAGAAAAAAAAAAATAGATACATATTGCTAAATATTAAGAATAGTCTCCTGGAATAACGGCCTCGCAACCATCTGTACTTTTGCCCATAGGACAATTTTTTTTATCATTGCAACAACGAATACAATATAAACCATTGTTAGGCTCGACAAGGCTCACAAAACGGCTAAATCCGAAACACGATGCACCACCAGGAGCTTTAATGTCATATTGACCACCTCCGTCACTCGGGTCAACGTATATACTATTGTCAAGGCGGCCGGTGACTTGAACAAAACCATTTGCATCATCTTTATAAAAGTGCGCTGATAAGATGAATCCAGGTGGATATTGTTGGGCTCCAGGTGCATTGGCGGTCGGTATGTTTCTGCAGAATGTGACGGCGTCATCTTCGCTAGAGCCAATATCTTGGCCAGCAGTTTTTGGAAGAAAGCCACAGAATTCATCTTCACTTACTACCGTGATAATTTTCCCATCTCCATCACGATTATTTAATTTGTTAAAGTTAAAAGGGACAGCATGAATAGATGCAATAATAATTGCGAGGATAAAAATTAATATAGATAATTTTGCCATTTTTTTTTTGTATTGAAAAAGAAATTTCTTTAGAAAACTTAAGAATTAGAGGCAAATAAATTATTAAGATGATTTGTATTGAAAAGAAATTTCCTTAGAAACTTAATAATTACAAGCAAATGAATTATTAAAATGATTTTATTTGCTTGATGAATATTGAGGGTTTATATAAAGAAAAAAAAAATCAACTCCGAAATTTACAAGTGCTTTAACGTTAAAAAAAAGATTTTCCATAAATAATACTTACTACGAATTAGGTGAATAATCGAACATTGCCTATTAATGATTTCGTAACGATTTTATTTTTTTTTTCAAAAAGGCAATAACATGATTCTGACTTTTTCATTCTAAACATAAGTATGTACATATTGATTCATGATCTCTTAGATCATAAATTTGGTTACTATTTCCGTATATGATTTTCAAGTTTCTATAAATAATATTCGAACTAACCTCCGATCACCATAATGTACATATTATCATTAAATTAGAACCAATTCTAGATAGATAATTTTTGGTTGGAAATATTAATTATATTTATTTATAGAAATAATTTCCTTTTTAATTTCATTTTCCAAAAATAGGTGCTAAGGCAGGGTTAACGTCGGGAATGCTGTAAAAGGAAGCCCCAGCTATATGTTGGCCTTTCGACCCGGAGATTTGTAATAGTTATTTCCTTGGCAGTTGGGTATAAGCGGGGCTGAAAGTCCCGCTTATCACATAGTGCCCAGGACATGACTGATTTATGCCCTGCGATCTTGATATAGTGACCAGGGTATAAACCAGGTTATTATTCTTCGTTTTATATTATCTCATGACGATGGTTTGTCGACTTATAATCAGAATTAAATTTCCGAAAGTTTACTTTCAATTTATTAATATACATACTGCATAAATTGTATTCTTGATATATTAATAATAATTAAATCAAAAAAGTAAATCTAAGCACATCAGATAAAGTCGCATGCTTGAATTCAATTCGTCAAGATCTTTATTATTCTATTTTTAAGTGTTATACCTTCGACGAACTGACTTTTTTCAAATTGAAGTATCTCATTAATTTATTAATTTGCCAACTGCCAAGACTTAATAAAAATCGAAAATCTCAATATTAGATAGAATATGTCGAATAAAGATATTACTGGTTAGTTCCTAATAGCACAAAAAAAAATAAAAATAAAAATCTAAAAAAAAAAATGGACAAAAATAAAAAAAATAGCAATATTTCAGTTTTCAGTTTCTCGTAAAAGTAGTCCAAAAATGTAAACAAATTTGTAGATTACTTTATACAATCTCTTGATTGTTGTGGTGTGGTTATTCCGAATGATATTTTTTAGTGGGCATAGATAATTCATAAACACGCGATTGGAAGACATTCAGGTTTATTATATTGTATAAGCGAGCTGCGAGCTACAATTTGATTAAAAAATATTTTGTATAAACCACGATAAAATGAATGTTCAAGAATTATGCATCATATTGTATAAAAAAGGGGGAACGTCAAAGTTGCACATCACTGTAATCCCGGATAAACTAAAATTAGATTCGGGGTTGAATTTAAGACTAAATGTTATAGGTTAATTACTTTCTCGATATTTTCACTAGCAGTAAATATTTCCAAAAAAGTGGTTTAAGCAGTTATTTTTCGTATTTCCCACGCCTTTGCTTTGTAAACTTGTTTAACATTGAATAATCAATCTTAAAGGTATACAATTTAAAGTGGCTCAAAAAAGAACACACTAATTGCTAACAATATGTATGTACGTACGTACAGTATGTAATAGTCGAAGACTTAGTAATGTAATTTTTACAATTATATCTTTTAGTAAATTTAATTAAAAATATTTGTACGGATTTTTCCGCTCCCTGAGTTTAAACTTTATTTTTATTACGTGTAATTGTGTTACGTGAATATATTTAAAATTGACTCAAAATTAATTAATCATATATATTTATAAAAGTAAAAAACATTATTATTATAAAATGCACCTATTATATAGTTTTATATGGAGTGTACATATTAAAACAGCCTATTTTTATGTACATACGTACTTCAAGAACTCAACTGAGTTAGCTGTTATTGAAGGTAAATAGGTAAATTCATACGTAAATCGGATTTAAATGATCTACATAAGTTCTTATTACTTATGACAAACTTTTTTATTGAACAAACACAGTATATATTCAAAAATCAAATAAACCGATTTTTTAAGAATGGGCTGTTTTAATAGTTTTTTATATATTAATTTTAGTACAAGTATCTCATGTTTCATAGGAAGAAGATCGTTTGATTGGCTAATTTTTATAGATCTACCCGTGATCACCCGTGATAATTAGCCAATCAAATTACATAATTTTAAAAAAATTCATTGCTTTAATAATACTAGAAAAAACGAAAGTAACTTCGTATGAAGAAGCTACAAATTAAACAAATATACAAAATGATTGATTTATTTCAATATACGGGGAATAGATACATGTAAAGTGGAGTAAAGCAGTATTCATGGTTAATAAACCCAAACTCATTGTTACAATCAACGATCTATAAACTAAAACTTATTACGGTTGACGGACCCAAACACAACGCAAGTACTAAACATATTCAAGTATTAAACTCAGAACTTCTTTTATAATAAACCTATTCTTATTCAAATTCAAGAGTCAGCAATAAAAGTTTTTTTTTAAAATCTAACGTAATAAGGCAGTCTTGAACAAAAACGTTTCCCACTTATCTTTATTTCAGTATAATATAAGATTGTCCAATGAACGGCAGGTATATTTTGTCTTCTAAGAAAAGTTCGTCGGGATTAAGATGATTTTGGGATTCTTTTTCATAGTGAATATTAACGTTTGTTTAAAGCTAGAAATGGCTTTTGACGCGATTTTTTTATTAGTGAACCGTTACGTTATCAAAAAGTACTTTAAAATGTATAAATAAGTTACCCGTGAATTGATTTGCATTAGCCAATCAGATGATCTTCCTCCTATGATCTCATTTTGGGATTAGCATTTAGAGTAAAAATTAAGTTTTGGGAAGGTTTTTTGGGAGCAGAGTATTTTTATTAGAGCATCAAATATTAATTAATTAGCCGGTTTTAAGATAATGCAACATAGGTGTTTTTTTTAGTAAATGGAAAATAGAATAAATAAATAATAAAACAATAATAATAAATAAGAAAAATAAAAAAAATTAAATTTTTAACTTGCCAATTGTATCTATACTAACTCTTCGACAATGTCTGTGTCACGAATCCCTCCTGAATTTTGACGAGTATTATTATTTACATCCATTTGTTATTCAATTTATATTCGTGTACACCCTGAAATAATCTTTTACCGTTATGATTGACAGATCCACGCTAACCAAACTTTAATAACTGAATTAAATGACGAGTTAAAAAATTTTGCGAAATTGTTGTGGTCAATGTAACTGGAGACATTTTCCTCAAAGGGGATAATATCGACAAAGTTAGCTGATATTAGTTATAATGTAAGTAGATTTAGTCGGTTTTATGTTCTTTCAGGAAAATAAACTTGTCAAATTTATGTCGTATTATTATACTGTATGGATTAACATTGCATATACTATACCAGATTTCATTTTATTTGCATTAGATATGGAGGTTTAGAATACTTATTTTAAATACTGTCGGCCCTCCCCAAATTAAACCAATTGGGTAAAATTCACCAACCAAATTTTTTTCAGAACATATAATATGATCGTCCAAAGTGAAGCGAAGCGGAGATTTATTACTGTATTCATTTGCGTTACATATTTCGAATAAATAAATTCACATGATCTGAAAAAAATTTGGGTGGTGAATTTTACCCAATTCCCCAAACCGGTATGTATGGTGGACAGGTTTTGTATCGGCTTTGGGAGGTTATCGGATTTGGAAAAATCACATGACAAGCTGATTGATAATCTACCAATCAAATTACAGAACCAGTACTAATGGTTTTTATAAAATTCGTCAAATTTTCTCAAACCTTGACAGACGTTTTCTCATTCAAATCAGCTAAAGTTTCGCTGTAGATAATGTATATATTCATTTATAACATACTAAAAGTTCAGCTAATTTGGATTAATGGTTCTTGAGAAATCACTTGTATACGATGGTTAATTTTTTTAAAAAATTGTATATCGTATACAAGTGGTTTTTCAAGAACTATCAATCCAAATTAGCTGAAATTTTTGTATATTATAAACGAATAAACATATTATCTATAATAAAAATTTGAGCTGATTTGAATTAGTAATCACCGAGAAAGCATCTGTCAAATTTTGAGAAAATTTGACGAATTTTATAAAAATTGATCTTTTTATGGCTCATTAAATTCATGACTCTGATTGGTCGTTAATCATGTGGCCACATATGATGAATCGGGAACTTAAGTATTTGGGCTATCGAATATCAGAAATGGCAGGTTATCAGGTATGGATTAAGGAACAGGCCTGGTGGATCGATTTTTAACCGATTATGACAGGTTATCAGTTTTGACAGGATCGGTTTGGGGAGGGCCGACAGTATATATCATATTAATTTTGCTATAATTTTAACCCTAATAATATTGAAACAGGCAACTACTTAGCTACTCTACTTGGGGCGTTAGATTTGGCGAGCTTACTTTTCTTTCATTACACTACTGTTCATTACCAATATTAATACTGCACTAAAATTAGAATCTTATGTTTATCAAAGGATTTCATGATCTTTGGCTTTTACGAAAGATCTCCTTACATCATTTGCTTATTCATCTTATGAAACTAACTAATTATCTAAATTAGGACTTTACCCCATTCTCAGTTCCTTTCATTAATTTATTTTATCTCGCCATTCTGAAATTTGGGCTTTTTGTTCTTGGTCTTAATTTGGTTATATGCGTTGATCGTGTGTTGATCGGGTCCCAGGCGTGATTGTTAACCATACTTGTCAGGTCGCGATAGAGTGAGTGACATGGCTGCATGCCACTTACCAAATTTTATGCCAAGATATCTT